AAATTGGTTCAGCAGTTTCAGAGAAGAAGCTGAATACATGTATGTTCAAATGTTAACACATGACGGACGACGCACGACGACGGACGAAAACGGATATCAATAGGTCACCTCAGTGACTCAGGTGACCTAAAAAACTTAATGTTATCTACAGTAATCATAAGTAATCATGTAAAACTTACATGAAGGAAAAGTAATCAGATGTAATTGATTACTTTTAAAAATGTCTGTAATCAGCTTGTAATCGATTACTTTTAAAATCCAAAGTAATTGTAATTTAATAGATTGTAACTTTTGGAAGTAATCGACCCCATCACTGATGTAGACATAATTATCTTGCATGTAGACATATTTTTCTTGCATGCTAACACAATTTATCTTGCATGTAGAGGGCAGAATTTTATATGCCACCATAGACTGTGCCTTGTGTGTAAGAAGTAGATTGTAAGAGTTATAGTTCTTACCGTGCTTGCAAATCAACATTCATGATGATACAATCAGCCTTGTTATGCATATGTTAAAGCTATTGTAAATGCCTACTTTATTTTATAAGTTTAAAAACAGATTGCGGAAATATAATCGCCGAAAAGCAGGTTTAATAATTTCAATAAACGGGGGTTGGGGGGGGGGGGAGGGGGGAATTGAAAAAAAAACAAACATAAAAAAGGGATAAAACGAGAAAAAGAGAGAGACTATAAGTTATATTTTAAGCATGTAAATACATTCTGAGATTTATTTCATCTTTTTCGACATACATTTCATCTGAGTCGTTTGAAAAGAGTCTAATGTTACATACACACATAGTTTACACATATTGATCCCATACTTATCACAGATACCCTTGATTGCCTTGAATCAGGAACTATCGATATAGACAAAACTATAAATGATCACAAAGCAACCTATATTATACTCAAACTAGACATCGCGATCAAAAATACGTATGTTCGAAAGATTTTCCTGTACAAAAGAGCTAATTTTGATCTATTTAGAACGGATATGAATGAAACAAATTGGGATGAAATCTTAAATAGCGAAGATGTTGATGTTGATGTAGTTAATTTTAACGGAAAATTTCAAAATTAGTGAATGAACACATCCCACAAAAAGATGTAATAGTAAGACCGGACGATAAACCTTGGTTCAATTCTGAAATTAGGAAAGAAATAAACTTGCGCGAAAAATTTAGAAAAGCTTACAGAAAATCAAAAAAAGATGAAGATAAAGCAAAATGCCGTAAACAAAGAAATAAAGTCAACAATTTAAAAAAGAAACTATAGAAGAAGAGTACTTGTTAAACCTGAATGAATCATTCAATCATCTAAATTGTACAATCTCAAAAACTTATTGGCAGATAGTTCGCAGATTATTGAAAAGTTCAAAGCCGTCACACTCCGTTCCTCCATTAAAAGAAAATGATAACTATGTTTTTTTACAGATGAAGGAAAATGTGAATTACTGAATGCTTATTTCTGTAAAGTTTCTTCTAATGATAACATAGATAAAGACCTCCCCGAATTCGAATCAAGAACAGAAGCCAAACTTGAAAATATAGTAATAATTAACGAAAACAAAATTGTCGATATTATTGAAACTTTAGATTCAAAAAAAGCCTCTGGTCCAGACAACTTCAGTCATATCTTAATAAAAGTGATAGGCTGGAGAAATTACAATTAGAAGCTGCGCGTATTGTCACAGGCCTTCCTATTTATGCTTCTCGTAAATCACTATATTTCGAAACGGGATGGGAAACTCTTGCTTGTAGACGGGAAAAGAGAAAATTATGTTTATTGAATAAATTGTCGCATATCTGCGGTGATTTTCTTTGATCTTTGTATTGTGATATATCCCATATCACATATGCGATAATACTTTCCACGCCCCTTCATATATCACTGCAGGAGGCAGAAATCAGGTCATAAGAAAAAAACTGATTTTATTTCACAAGTTCAGAACTGCAGAAAAATTTCTTAGCCTTTAACTAAATTAAAATACATGTATATAACTTAGTTGAAAGCTCCCGGTCGTTCAAAATCCATTTTGAAAGTTACGGTAAAATCTCCAGACTTTATATTGTTAAACTCCTTGATATTTCTTGTGATTTCATATTTGTCGAGTGCCTGGCTCAAAGATAAATTGTCTAAATTTTTAAACTCAGTTAAAAAGTCAAAGTCAAATTCACTAAGAACGTCCGACATGTTGGAGAGCTAGCTTGAAATGAATCTTGAGTTAATGACACGCTGAATATTTTTTTTAATGAATTCTGACATTCTCAATGAAATTTACGTCATCAGACATGCGACAAGTTGCTTACATCATAGATACCTCGTGCTTACTATTGGTTGTATCGTTTTCATGGGGCGTGAAAATCTCGGGCGCTCCGCGCCCTCGATTTCCACGCACCATGAAAACGATATAATCAATACTACTCGGCTTCTATGATGTAACCTATACATAAAACATGGCCTCGCACCAGAATATTTACTAAATCTATTACCCCCTGAAGTCTCTCAAACTACCCATTATGATCTACGAAATAGTAATAATATTGTTATTCCCCAATGTAGAACAAATTTATTAAAAAAACTAATTTTTTTCCATCTACAATATCAGCATGGAATGCATTGCCTACTGAGATTAGAAACCTAGACACTATAAATGCTTTTAAAAAGAGACTCTCTAAAGGTGATTCTCCCCCAAAATATCTTTCTTGTGGCGACAAAAAAAATGAATTCAATTTTAACCAGAATGAGACACGACGTAAGCCTCCTTAAGTCAGATCTGTTTAAGTTTAGACTTTCAGACAATACCCAGTGTTCTTGTGGATATATCAATGAAAACACTGAGCATTTCTTCCTCTATTGTTAAAATTTTACTGAAATAAGAACAGAATTATTTCATACTATAAAAAATAACAAAGGAGAAATAGACCTTGACAAAATTCTTTTTGGGGACCTAAACTTGGGTCAACAAACAATATCATTATTGTTAAAGCCGTACATAAGTATATTAAAAATTCGAAAAGATTTTTTGAGCAGCAAGCGTGACCATTCTGTATCCTTTGCATCCCCTTCCTTCTTTCATCTTTACTTGCACTTCTATTCCCTACCTTTCTTATCTCTCTGCACCCTTTTCTTCTTTTTTTTGCATTGTAGATTTGTTTGTTGTTCATCACGTGTATATAAATTTGTTTTTTCTTTGTTTGTGTTGGAGAGGACATTCTAAGTTGGAAAAACTTGTGTCTGATCCAATTGATTATATAAATAAAATATGTTTAAATTCAAATACACATTTTTTCTTCTTTTTCGTCTTTCAAATTCTTTCTAATAACGTAAAACATCTACAGATATTTATAAATTTTAATGATAAATGTTGTTGTAGGAAAATTCATACAAAGCAGCTTTTATCAATAAGAATAATGATTTTGACAAACAAGCTGTGAATATTGGTTATTCAGGTGATGAACTAGAAAATATTATTCGATCTGTACATTTATCAGAGGCAGAAATAAATGTAACACCAGTATCAGATTATGAAAATTGTCCACCAGTGATTATAAATGATACAATTCCATGTGTTGATTCAAATAGCTCTAGTGCTGAACACATCAGAAAAAGTATCTTTAACAAAACTACCTCAATTGCCAATGATGATATTGAATGGCATCAGTTAGCAACTGGTATTAGCAACACAGATTTTATACAATCTATCGAGTCTTTAACAAATGATCAGCAGAAAATATTTTTGTATGTGAAAAACCACTTTCAAAGAAGCAAATCTCAATTACAGATATTTATTACTGGTGGTGCAGGTGTCGGAAAGAGCTATTTAATTAAAACTCTTGTAGAATATACCAATACTATGCATGCCTTATATGCAGGAGTAAATCCTGTTGTTGTTTTGGCACCAACTGGTGTTGCAGCATGCAACATTAATGGTTATACAATTCATTCTGCATTAAAAATACCAGTTCAGCACTCAAAGAACTATGATTTTAAACAATTGTCTTCACAAGTGTTGTAGAAGCTCAGAAATACTTTTCAATATGTTCATACCATAGTCATAGATGAGATAAGTATGGTAAGTGCAGTAATGTTAGAACACATTCATTTACGATTGCAGGCAATCAGAAATAATGACCTGCCATTTGGTGGCTTTCATATGATTCTTGTGGGAGATCTCTTTCAGTTAAGACCACTCACCAGTACGTGGAAGTTTTGCTTTTTGTCATTCTATTTTGTGGAATGGATTTCTACCATTTGTACTGCAACAAAATGTTAGGCAAGCTGAAGATATCACATATATGAAACTGCTCAATAGAGTGAGGATTGGAAATATGAATGAAAATGACATTGCCTTATTAAAAACCCGTTTAGTTAGAGACCATTCAAATTTCTCATCCATTTTTCATATATTTCCTACTTGTAAGCAAGTTGAACATCATAACTCAAACGTCCAAAAGAACAACTGAGGAATTTGTTGTAAAAGCCCAGCATTTTTTCTCACAAAATGATTTAACACCTGACATTGAAGTTGATGATGCTAATTTAATCCCGATTGATGATCGTGATGCTGGTGGCTTATTATCTTCACTAACCTTGTCCGTTGGAACAAGAGTAATGTTAGTTAGAAACCTTTGTGTCAAGTTTGGATTAGTAAATGGAGCAAGAGGTTATATACATGCAATACACACAACTCCCTGTAATGATGAAATAATTGTCAAGTCCGTTGATGTTAAATTCAATAATTCAGAAAAACTACCAAAATCAGTTTGCAATTTTAATGGATCTGTAAGTATTGAAATGTATAGTCAAGAATTTTATAATGATGGATGATACATAATCAGAAAAACTTTTCCATTGATGCCTTGTTGGGCTGCAACTGTCCATAAAGTTCAAGGTTTAACATTAAATGAAGCAGTTAATTTATGTCTTGGTGATACTTTGTTTCAAAATGGTCAAGCATATGTTGCATTAAGGCGTGTAAACAGCTTGCAAGGTGTTTTCTTAACAGGATTATGCCTTGGTAAGATAAAACCAGATCAGCTAGTGTTGAACGAGTACCTAAATATGTTGGAAAAATTTAACTTACTCAAATAAATTTTTCATTTCTGCATTCCTAAGTTTTGCATATATATATATACTGAGTATAATTCTTGACCTTGCACTTATAGAATTTGATTGAAATTTTTTGCCCAAATTTTAAATTGATTGTGAGGCATGTATCTTCATTATATCATAACAGAAGTGCTTCTTAATTTTTATAAGGTATGTAACATTTTATTATGCATTTGGGTCACATATCCATTTTCAGGTTGTTTTTTTTTTATGTTGACAAACTTTGAATATTTTTTCCATAATTTCAGATTTCATCTCGTTAAATAGTCTACCACAGAATCCTGAGAAGGATGAATTCTGTAATGGCTTCTTCAAAGTTTGTGTACTTGACTGTGGGAAGCCCCAACCATACAAATCTACCAAAAGAGGAGAAGAAACAATGCTCCAGGTAACCTGTGCTGACATTACAAAATACGACAACTTTATTTTTTATGCTGTCGATCACTTTCCACTCGTAAAAAAAATGAAAGCATCATCATTAAGGATGTGATCAAAAAACCAAATGGGTACATTGTTTCAAATATTAAATACCGAATAAATGAGTAAATAGTTGGTGGCATAAAGGCCTTTTACATTAACAAAGTAAACCTGAAATTTAACTCTGTTTTAAATGCATCGTAAAAGACAATTTTTTTTTTTTTTTACATTTTAGTAACATTGCAGTGACGGTGAAGTCGGATGTTTTTGTCAGTAGTCCACTACAAGTCCCGCAAGAGTTGAGAGAAAATTATGAGAGAGAAACAAAAAGTGGGAAAATCTGGGATGTGAAAGATGCCGCAATATCACCTCAAAAAACAACAATCACAGTGTGTGGTCAAGTAGTTGCAGTAAGTACTTATTGATATAATTTTATATTGGGTTTTTAAAGAACATGTACTTTAAAGAATGTTTTCTTTATCAGACTCACATTTTCTTTTAATTTCACATTCTTATCTGCATTGATAATTTATTATTTGTACATATTACATGTATATCTTAATATTCTCAAAAACATAACATTTATTCATATACATGATAATTTTTTATCATGTTTATAAATTTTACTTTGCAATTTTTAGTGCAACAAGACCACAACAAAACGAATTCGAGAAACCCAGGAAGAAGTAAAATTTAAAAGAATCAAAATCAAAGATAACACCGGATCTATTAATGTTGCCCTGACATGGCTGAAACAGAAATTGCAAAAGGAAATTACGTTAAACTGTTGAACTTTTCTAGGATTTCCAAGTTCGATCATGTGCTGCAATCACAGAAGCCAGTTCTTGGCAGTAAGCCTACTGGATCGTCTATAGAGGTATAGTATTTTTAGAGTCTTTAAACCTCTCTGTTAAAATAATTTTATGTTAAAATTTGTCTGTATCGGTCTGTGATCTATCATTATTTATTAATATTTTCAGTTCATGCCAGACATTGATGATATCTCATCCACAGACGATTCTGAAGATGAAGACCTCAGTAAAGTCACCGGGCAGGTGCTAGGGGTCCAATCCCTGTATCTGTACAGGTAAAATGTTATATCAAACTACATATTGAGGAATTAAACATCTTTTCATAATAAAGACACTTATTAGTAAACTACAAGTCTACATCATTTATTTATATCATTTATAACACTGGAAAAATATATATCAAATAGAATCTTCCAATATTATTGATCATAAAAAGCATGCTTACTATAACTTTTTGTAAATTTTTCCAATTCTCCTTAGAAGTAAGTATTTCTCTTTCAATTTATTTCACAGCTGCTGTATAAACCCACCATGCTGCAAGAAAAAGCTGCAAAACAACATCTGCACAACTTGCAATATGCACTATACCGCAGCAAGTGCTGGTTCTGGGGCAGTACGTAAAATCCTCCTTCAAAGAAATGGCATGAACATGCAGACTTATACCATGTTCACAGAACTCATCCAGTCCCTCTTGTCTTGCATGAACTGTGATACTGCACTAGACAGCACAACCGTGTCAAGGATTGTAAATAAAATTCCATTTACAGTTTCTTACGTTGCTAATGGCAACAAACTTGCGCACATAAAATATATTTTATGATTTGTTGGAAAGAAAACATTTATCCTGTCTTTGAAGTTATGTACATTATTACAAGGATAACTGATAGAACAATAATTATTTTATGAACTTGCACTTCTCTTACAATAATTGTTCTCCAATTTTTGCCCAGTATGTTCAGTATTTCAAATGTTATCATGCGTAATTTTTATTATCTGTCACATGATTGTTAACAATCATGATTACTAGAATATGCTCAGAAATATTTTTTCTTTGAGTTTAACTTTTTTCTTTATTGTACAACTGATCCTAAACATTCATTAGGATTACATGCACTTTAACATTACTTGGACTGGTTTATAACTTTAAAAAATATTTCTGACTGGCTTTCTGTATAGTACTGATGATAAACAATCTTGATTTAAATATGTCTGTTGAGATTTCTTGGAATGTGGTTTTTTTCTTTGTTTTTTTTTTGTGCACAATTCTTTTAAGTAGATGCCCAATAATCAAGATTATGACTGTATGTCCTTGAGATTTCTTGGAATGTTTTGTTATGTTCCTTTTTGTGCACAATTTATGAAAGTATATGCTAGAGTACAACTGATAATCAAGATTATGACTGTATGTCCTTGAGATTTCTTGGAATGTTTTGTTATGTTCCTTTTTGTGCACAATTTATGGAAGTATTGCTAGCGTACAACTGATAATCAAGATTATGACTGTATCTCCTTGAGATTTCTTGGAATGTTTTGTTATGTTCCTTTTTGTGCACAATTTATGGAAGTATATGCTAGCGTACAACTGATAATCAAGATTATGACTGTATGTCCTTGAGATTTCTTAAAATGTTTTGTTATGTTCCTTTTTGTGCACAATTTATGGAAGTATATGCTAGTGTACAACTGATAATCAAGATTATGATTGTATGTAATTTGAAATTTCTTGGAATGTTTTGTTATTTTCCCTTTTTGTGCACATTTTTTTATTTAGATGCTCAACAACAATGATTTTATGTACTGGGCATTTTTTCAGCATGTGTCTTTTTGTTCAGTAATTTTGGCTTTGTGTTCACTTTTTAAAACTGCAATTGATTACACTCCTACAACTGAGTTTTAACAGTCATAATATTTCAACTTTAACATTTCTCAGAATGCATATTTCATTTTTCCTTATGCGCTTCTTGTCAGATACATGTGGACATTACATAATTTACAATTGTCCTGTTGGTGTGTGTATATAAGGTTTAAAACTGAATTATGTTCACATAATCAGTAGTATTTGCTTGTAGTTGTTTAAAATGTAGTTGTTAAAATATAGTTTAGTTTTCTTCCAGGTAGAGTTTGAAAATATGTAGTTGTTTAAATATAGTTTAGATGTATTCCAGGTAGTTGTTTAAGTATACATTTGCATTCCAGGTAGAGTTTGAAAATATGTAGTTGTTTAAATATAGTTTAGATGTATTCCAGGTAGTTGTTTAAGTATACATTTGCATTCCAGGTAGAGTTTTAAAATATGTAGTTGTTTAAATATAGTTTAGTTGTATTCCAGGTGGAGTTTAAAATATGTAAGTTTAGTTGTATTCCAGGTAGAGTTTTAAAATATGTAGTTGTTTAAATATACAATAATTGTATTCCAGATAGAATCATATTTTACTGCCGACAAAAGATATATCTCTTTTGATGCATAACATTTATATAGAGCTTGAATCATAACTTTATAACAATAGTTTGTACTTTATATACACAATGAGTGTGTGAAATATTTTTCATTTATTCACGAAAGGCTTTTTTTTATAATGTTTGTATAATTCCGATCTTAAAATACATTGTACGGCAGAATTTATGTACATACATTTTGTTTGAAAATTGTATTTGTATGAAGAATTTGAGTTGTTTTTTTTTTTACTACCACAGATAGTTTGTATTTGTAGTTTTTCTTTATTGATTTTTTACGCCTTTCACCTTTATTACTGACATATCTTTGGAAGTATAATAATTAATATTCTGTACATTTTTACATTTTCAAAACTTCAGAAGGATTATATATTATGCATAAAAAATTCTGTTCAACTTCTTAAAACATATCATTCCATTTTAAATCATATCAAGTTTATTCCTTCATTTCATTATTATTGTATTAAAATCTTTACTTGATTTTTTTTTAACTGAAAAATGTTCTTTTCAATAAATGTTTTAATTTTTTTTCTCTTCATTATTTTGTTTTTATTTAACTCTGGCTTTTATTTCCTAAATAAAGAATGGCTGCAATTTTTTTTTTAAATATCAGTAAAATGAAACCAAAGCAGTCTGTGATAAACGTACAATAAGAAGGAAAAATCACTTTTATAGGCATTAATAAATATATAGGTAGTATCCATAGTTAAATCCCTGCGTGGTAATCTGCCCCTCATTTTTAATCGCTGTTGCCTGCACCAGCAAGTAATCTTCAGCGCTCTGAAGTTTTGCTGTATTATACAAGGAGAAGAATTAATTTTTTTTTGGCCCAAACTTTCATTTCTTCGGTTCTATTGATCTTCAGCATGGCTATTATTTAAAATTTGCAGTCGCTATATTACGTCGTCCCTGCGTTTGGCCTAAAAATTTTAGTTTAAGGGACTCCGACCCTCAGCCAGGAAGGACAACTCTTTAATTTATAATTTAATTCAAAAAGTTTTTAAATGAAGCTTGAAAATTAAATATTTTCATGCAACAATTTTCATTATATGCCTCTCAATGTGTTTTAAGGTTCTATGCAAAGCTCCATAAATCACTTTTAATTTCATATCATGTTAATAAAGACTGGTATCTAAAAATGCTTTCATGGGATAAAAATTTCTACTTTTAATTAGACCTTTCTGAGAAGTTCAAAGAACCTTGAAGCACATTGAGAGGCATAAAATGAAAATTGTTGCATGAAAAGATTCAATTTTCAAGTTTCTTTTGAAGCCTTTTTGAATTAAATTATAAATTAAAGAGTTGTCCTTCCTGGCTGAGGGTCGGAGTCCCTTAACAAAACGTAGGTAAAGGTGGCTTCTTTTGAAAGGTTTATATACTTAGCCCATGTGGGTAGCAATTATCTTTGGACTGCTCTTTCTTATTTTAAAAATACCTGTCAGCTTAGTTTTCTGTTTGCTGAATAAGTCATTCGGGAACTTCAGGTATAATAATCCATATATTCATTGCATTAAAATATTTCCCTTTCTGTTTTCTTTCTTTCACATTATTGATACTAAAGAGATGACATTTCAGGCTTTCTGGAAAGCCAAACTTGTTCCTTCTAAACTTTCTGTGGTTTTCATGGTGACACATAAAAAGGGGTAAAAGAAAATAGTTTTGTTGGTCAAATATCATTTTCATATAATTGTGTTAATAAAGTTTTGTACTTCACATATGGACATTGTTGACAACCAGTAAAAGAAAATAGGTTAAAACTTTCCATTTCGTTGTGAAGTTTGATTATAAAAAAAATAAGAGAAAGAAAGAAGAGATAGTATTACATCATTTAAATTAAAAGAAATATTTAAAAAAAAAAAACAACTTAACTTTAAAAAAAAAAGGGGGATAGTCAGAAGAAAAAAAGAACTTGCTTCTTTAAGCTTTAGAAAAAAAAAAGAGAAAGGAAGAAGAAAGACAGAATATCTACCATAAAAATACCATACATTGGATAATTTCTGTGGTTATTATGACTGAAATATTTCAGCTTTGTTTTATACTGAATTTGAGCACGGAATATTCCGTATTTCTTATAATTACATTATGCTAATAACAGCGGTGACCGGGTCATTATGGAATGCTTAGTCCTCCAAGGCACCTGATCCCACATCTGTGATTTCCTCTGATCCTTGTTTGATGCCTTATTTACAGATTTGTATTGATTACAGTTTTTGTTTTGGATCAATCACTGTTCGTCATCTTCAACACTTTCATTGACCCAATTTTTCAAGGAATTTTCAGTTTGATAAAAAAAAAGTTTTGCCATTGAAATGAATTAAAAAGCAGAAAACACTGTAAATAATATAAACCACAGAAATTACCCTTTCTAAACTACTTTTGTAAAAATTTAACTTGCTCATTAAAAAAATCTAAAGAAGGGTGACATTTTCTTGTTATAAAAAAAGTCAAACATTTCAATGTTAATAGTTGTAATAGGGTATAGAGAGAGGTTTTATAAACCCTTGACTCCTGTTACAAAAGCTTTTGATTAGTATTTTGATAAGCATGAAAATCCTCCTTGCTTTTGAACTCAATATTCTGGGAATAACTGATGATCTCAAATGCATTTAAAAAAACAATTAATATACCTCCCTCATCTTCATGCAGGCACTACCTCTCTCATCTTAAAACTTAGATATGCGGGCAAAATACCATCCACTTTAAAAATTGTATAGGATTAGTAAATTTCAGGCAATTAATTAAAACCTCCCTCATTTCAAATTTCATTGTTAATACAGGTACACATTAACAACCTTGCTCACTTTGAAATTAATTATTCATACAAGAACTAACTACATGTACCTCCCTCATTTTTTAAAACTTTCATATTCAGAAGAGCACTAAATACTTCCGTCATTTTGAAACTTAACAATTCAGGCAAGTACTAAATACCTCCGTTTTTTAAAATAAATATTAGGCACTAAATACCTCCCTCATATAAAATTTCCATAGTAAATGACAGGCAAGCACTAAATACCTCCCTCGTCTTAAAACTTAAATATTCAGGCAAGTTCTATGTACTCCCCTTGTTTAAAACTTCCATAGTTAATACAGGTAAACACTAACAACCTCCCTCCTTTAAAAATTAAATATTCAGGCAAAAACTAACTCCCTCGTTTTAAAACTTGTATATTCAGGCAAGCACTAATTCATTATCTCACTTTTAAATTTAAATATTCAGGCAAGAAACTATAAATACTTCCCCCACAATTTTTTTAACTTAAATATTCAGACAAGCACTAAATACCTCCCTCACTTTTTTAAAATTAAATATTCAAACTTTAAATCTAAATATTCAGATAAGCATTAAATACCTCACTATTTTTAAAGTTAAATACCTCCCTATTTTTAAACTTAAATATTCAGACAAGTAGTACCAAATACCTCCCCTACTTTTAAATTTAAATATTCAGGTAAGCACTAAAAACCTCCCTTGTATTAAATCTGTTTATTCATGATCAAGTACTGATTTTTAAAAAAAAAATATAACTCCTTGTTTTTAAGGTTCCTAATTCAGACAAACACTACCTCCCTTGCTTTTAACTTTAAAATTCAGACGAATGCTGATTCAAATATCCAGTACATCTTTTGCTTTCATCTAAATCTTTTAAACTATGACAAGTGTTGATTGGGAAAAACTTTTCTTTAAGCTTACATAACTTATCAAAAAGAATTGCAATTAATGGATAATACATGTATAAAGAAAAAAAAACCACACTGTTAACTAGATTTCTTATGTATGGAAACAATTTAAGGTAATCAGCTAAAAGTAGTTTCTTTTAAGCATTCAGAAAATCACTGGTATAAATACCTGCAACGCTTTTTAGCTTAAATAATATAACTAAAAAAAACTTTATACATGTATTAAAAAATGTTCAAAAAAAGACATACAAAACTTTAAAAAGGAAATTTATGTATAAGGAAAAAAGTATAATTATTATACCTCAATACTTCTCATTTTTAGGGTGTGTTAACTTACATAAAAAATGATTAAATTCTCTCTAAATGATACTGTCTCACTCAGATAAAACAGTGAGCCTAAGTGATCTTAAACAATTATCACGTAAAATGAATTCTTCTATTATCCTAGATATATCATGGAAAATGTCATGGTTATACAATACAAAAATACATCAAATTCCCACAACCATCCAAAAATTATAAAGGTTCCTTCACATAGTATTCCTGGTGGTTTGTCCTGGTCCAGGCCGTATGGGAAATCTTGGAAAAACATGGGTAGCAAAATCATCTTCTGAGTCTATCTCTAGGTCACATGGAAACTTTTGGAAGAACACAAATAGCGAAATTATCTCCCATAACCGAGACTGCTCCAAGCTCCATCAGAATTCTTTGAAACACATCCATGGGGAAAATATCTCTGGACTCTTTCCCCACAGCTCCAGTTTGAGTAAAACAAGGCAAGCCTCCAGTTGTCCAACACTATAGAAATACAATGAATTCCGTGATTATTTACTATGATATATTATTTAAAGTACAAGTAGTTAGGGTATTTATATTGATAATGATAGAAACCAGAAGTCTCTGTCCAGACTGTAGCTCTACTGGTTTATACAGCAATAAATAGAGAAATTATCCTTGCCGCTCATCAAAATAAAAACCAATGCACAGAATTATGTATCTTAGTATAGTCTATTTGTGTGCCAAGTCATACTGAAATCGGAACAAACTGTAGGAGGAGTAGCAATTTGAAAGCATTTCACAGAAATTTCTATTTATAGTAACAAGTGAATCCTTTAACCAAGGATGCTTTGTGGCAAGTTTGGTTGAAATTGGCCCAGCGGTTCTTGAGAAGAAGTCAAAAATGTGAAAATTTTACAGACAGACGGATGCCGGACAAAATGTGATC